TCATAAAAATAGATTGATTCTGGTAATTTGTAGACAATCATTTTCCTGGTCACAGAGTCTTCAGTAACTTCAGACGACTTGATTTCAAAAGTTCCGTTGTTTTCTAATTTGATCTCCCTGAAAGTATAATCCGGGGAGTTCTCATCGACAATAGGATGCATAAAGTATACAGTGGGCAACGGTTTTCCCGAAGCTGAACAAGTCACCTCCATAGAAATGTTCATGTTCCCATTCTTATTTGTAGAACGCAATTCTGATTTCCAGAAGCTGTCAATGCTGATTTTTTGCTTCACCACATTAACTTCGAAACTATATTTCATAAACCTTCCGCCTTCGAAACTCGCAATAATTTCATAAGTACCAGAATCTTCAACTGTCACATTATACGAAGTTAACACAACACTAACTTGACCTTTAAAATATCTGGTAATAAGGAACTCAAATCCCGGAAAATCATAAGATAATCTGGTTTTCAAATTTTTACGTATTGAAATATCCGTGGGTGCCCCGTAAATCTCGATAATGAAATGCATGCGGTAAGTTAGCTTGAAGAGCACCCTGTTTGTGAGCCTGACCCACAATGGCACTGTTCAAAAAATATGTAGAATCTTCTTGTCCCTTTGGAAAAACTGTGTATCGCTTGCGGATATTTAGATATATATGATCGGCAATTTTTATCTGCTGACCAAAGTTGATAATACCATCTATTGGTTCGTCAGGATTTAGATCATATCGTGCTACTGCTTGGTATTTCCCATCTTCTAGTGTGTAATTATCAGAACCAGAATACTTAAAATGGGACTTATCATGTGTTCCTGGCTCAAAAAATTTATACGATAGTATATCAGAAGAGTTCACGTCTTTAGTCGAACCCAGGTTGATTGTGGTTCTAAGATTAATATGACTGTCCTGGGGATCTATTATCACTTGATTATCATCTTCGTAATGAACTTGAAACTCTTGGAAATGATAGGTCAAAAGAGTATCGTTATCAAGACTCGCTATACTGTCTATACGCACTGATAACAAATCTGAATGACTCAAATGAATTGATAGTTCCAAAAAATCTGAGACTGACTTCATATCGACAGTTAAAATCAGAAGGAAGTCGGCATCATTTTTCTCTGCCACAAAACACAAACCTTTACCACACATACCTGGTAATAATTTAATATAAGCTGAATAAACTTTAACAAACATTTGAAAAAGAGGAAATTCAGCATCAGTCCTAGTTTTCAAACTTAAAATCATTGTATTATTTTTTGTGTCTTTAAAAATCTTGACTGTTGTTTTACCAATACTAATGTTTCTATAACTATTTGGTTGTTTTCTGTCGACTTCTTCCACTGCCTCACTCACTGGCTTTGTTGATTGATCTGAAGATATTTTGGGTTTTGTCCAAGTTGACATTCGATTCCAAGCGTTCATTGTATCTAGAATTCTATACTCTTTTTCCAGATTCGGCGATTCTTCATAATTATCCACATTTATCTCACTATTTGGTATCACTCCAGTTTCTTGTTGCAGTAACTTCTCAAATTGACCCAGAGCGTCTTGAGCTTGTTGAAACTTCTCCTTCACCGTCTTGAAAGAATCCAGTAAATTTTGATCAACAGCAAAAGCTGCTTGGATACAAAATATTAAAATCCAAAACATGATGGAATTCCTTTCATCCAGTCACTTCACCGTCTATCCTACAGGATGGACGTCCTACCACTCTGTATCTTATTGAGCAAATCGAAACGAGTAAATGACGATTGTAGTAGCATTGAGTAAATTTATAGTGTCATGTAATGTCGAATAAAAGTATAATTTTAATGTAAAAGTTGAAGGTTAGAAAATAATTATTATAATGACATATAATTGAAATCATTTCACATAGAAACAAAGATGACATTCAAGAGCCTAACATATCAAATACGATAGGCATCGTAACATACGCCCACTGGCAGCTTTGTTTAAATCATAAACAATATATTATACTGAATAGATAAAGAAACGTCGGAAAGAAGAGAAAGTAGTGAACTGTTTATTTAAATATCAATAATGCAAAAGTTAATATTGTCAAAAGACAACATGTCATTGCAATTTGATACAGATGGTCTGAGGACGAAAATCAGTACCTCGTGTGTCCACCTTGTGCATTAATAACGGCCCGGCATATTCTGTAGATGGAATGGAATCTGCACCAAGGCCCAGGCTGCACCGAATGTTGCTGTATATCTTGTTTAGAAGTCATTTTATGCTATCCCACAAGTCTTTTATCGTCTTGGTGGTTATGGCAATGGATGGACGGGCGTTCTCGTGCTGGAAGGTGGGGTTTCGGAGTCTTGCAAATTGGGCTACAAAGTTGTGTCGGAGAACCTGATCGATGTCACGGGCGTCTCTCTGCAATCTGCAGTACCGATTCTCATCTAAGAACACATAGGCCCACCTCTGCCGATGCCCTCAATATTGTCAAGACGTTGCTGACGTTAATGAGGAGTGAGCTCTGTATAGACGGCGACCAGACAGGTTTTTGGGAAGGGAGCTGATTTCGAACTGGGTCAGCACTGATGGGTCGCTCATAGTGGTCAATGACCACGAGCTGTTTGGTTTTCTGTACAGAAACCTGGCACATTATGTTGCACGTAGGCTACATTTCGATTTTCCTGCGAATCACTTGCGACTTCTCTCACGGCATCTCACAGTTTCCAAGGTTTACAACTGTTACACAGAACTCAACCGATATTATCATAAACTGACCTTTTTTTAAGTCTTAAAATCATGCACGATTACGTCATAATAATCCAAAAATCTAAAAAATATTCAACCTTATATCCGTCCACCAAAGTTACAAATGTTATATGTAATTATACACTTTATAAACTAAGACACCCCTAATTTTATACAGTTATAACGCCTAACAACAATTGTTATCTACAATAATTATGTTACAATAGCGAGACATTTGATAATAATTACAGGAAAACGGTTGGTATTTAATTACAATTTTGTTCATCTCTTCAGAACAAATTTTCATAGCAATGTTCAGTGGAAATAAATTAATCAAAACTTAGTAATTTTACGTCTGACTTTGTATCATTGATATCGGTTGGTTTGAATATCAACCACCAAACGGAAGTCAGCGTCCAAAATGACACTGCTTTTATAAAGGAACATATTTTTTTTATATAGAACGAAATGATATAATTTTTGTTTTTAAACGTACTGTAATTCACATTCGACATATATTTTTTAACTTTTGAATCTTCGTTTTTGAAAACCTTTAGATTTCAGGTTTTTCACCCACTATTCTTCGAAATTCCAGAGTGTCTGTTCGTTTCAGGAAAATCTAGGATTAAAATATGAAATTACCAATATTATTTACTTCCGGTTAGATTGAGTGGTTTGGATTTCAAACCAACCAAATATCTGCCATAGAAGGAAGTCAAAAAAAGTAAGCAAGATTTTTCCTTTGAATTCCTTCCTTAAAATTCCTTTGTAGTTTCTTAAATTTATTAACTAGCTTCCATTCTGTCAGTGATGCTATTTGGAGATGTTGACATGGAAAAGACTGATCTGTGGTCTTGTAATTCCACTATAATACTATTATACTATAAGCGTTTTATGACGTCAATATCGCAAAGGACCTTTTATGATATATGCAGCTTTTGTGATAGTGACGTCATACAAAGCTTAAATTTAGTGGAACCACAGACGTCAGATCAACAGTTGGAATGGTGCAAATGGATGCTATTAGTGCCCTCGATACACATAAAGAATTTAGAAAAATTCTTTACAATCACTTTAACGTACTTTCTTATTACTATTTGGTGGGAAAATTTAAATAGGTATACACCATCGAGTCCAAACCACACCCCCATTCCTTGATAAACAATGTCAAAACTCGTATTAAGGATACAATGCTGATACACATATAAAGTTTAGAAAACAATTTTGAAATTTTGGGCAACCGCCGGGTCAAGCAGTTTGCATTAATCAAGAACAAAACTATTAGCTATAATTATAGTGAATGAATTTTTATAGCAATTTATAATGAAATAAACAAATGAAATACATAGCGATCTGAAGATTAATATATTTCAAAATCAGATTCATAAATATTAATCATTTTATACCGTTCTTGTTTCTTACTTATAGCTTTACATCCAATTTCATAAAAATAGATTGATTCTGGTAATTTGTGGACAATCATTTTCCTGGTCACAGAGTCTTCAGTAACTTCAGACGGCTTGATTTCAAAAGTTCCGTTGTTTTCTAATTTGATCTCCCTGAAAGTATAATCCGGGGAGTTCTCATCGACAATAGGATGCATAAAGTATACAGTGGGCAACGGTTTTCCCGAAGCTGAACAAGTCACCTCCATAGAAATGTTCATGTTCCCATTCTTATTTGTAGAACGCAATTCTGATTTCCAGAAGCTGTCAATGCTGATTTTTTGCTTCACCACATTAACTTCGAAACTATATTTCATAAACCTTCCGCCTTCGAAACTCGCAATAATTTCATAAGTACCAGAATCTTCAACTGTCACATTATACGAAGTTAACACAACACTAACTTGACCTTTAAAATATCTGGTAATAAGGAACTCAAATCCCGGAAAATCATAAGATAATCTGGTTTTCAAATTTTTACGTATTGAAATATCCGTGGGTGCCCCGTAAATCTCGAAATGAAATGCATGCGGTAAGTTAGCTTGAAGAGCACCCTGTTTGTGAGCCTGACCCACAATGGCATTGTTCAAAAAATATGTAGAATCTTCTTGTCCCTTTGGAAAAACTGTGTATCGCTTGCGGATATTTAGATATATGTGATCGGCAATTTTTATCTGCTGACCAAAGTTGATAATACCATCCATTGGTTCGTCAGGATTTAGATCATATCGTGCTACTGCTTGGTATTTCCCATCTTCTAGTGTGTAATTGTCAGAACCAGAATACTTAAAATGGGACTTATCATGTGTTCCTGGCTCAAAAAATTTATACGATAGTATATCAGAAGAGTTCACGTCTTTAGTCGAACCCAGGTTGATTGTGGTTCTAAGATTAATATGACTGTACTGGGGATCTATTATCACTTGATTATCATCTTCGTAATGAACTTGAAACTCTTGGAAATGATGGGTCAAAAGAGTATCGTTATCAAGACTCGCTATACTGTCTACACGCACTGATAACAAATCTGAATGACTCAAATGAATTGATAGTTCCAAAAAATCTGAGACTGACTTCATATCGACAGTTAAAATCAGAAGGAAGACGGCATCATTTTTCTCTGCCACAAAACACAATCCTTTACCACACATACCTGGTAATAATTTAATATAAGCTGAATAAACTTTAACAAACATTTGAAAAAGAGGAAATTCAGCATCAGTCCTAGTTTTCAAACTTAAAACCATTGTATTATTTTTTGTGTCTTTAAAAATCTTGACTGTTGTTTTACCAATATTAATATTTCTATAACTATTTGGTTGTTTTCTGTCAACTTCTTCCACTGCCTCACTCGCTGCTTTGGTTGACTGATCTGAAGATCTCTCAGGTTTTGTCCACGCTGACATTCGATTCCAAGCGTTCATTGTATCTAGAATTCTATACTCTTTTTCAAGATTCGGCGATTCTTCATAATTATCCACATTTATCTCACTATTTGGTATCACTCCGGTTTCTTGTTGCAGTAACTTCTCAAATTGATCCAGGGCGTCTTGAGCTTGTTGAAACTTCTCCTTCACCGTCTTGAAAGAATCCAGTAAATTTTGATCAACAGCAAAAGCTGCTTGGATACAAAATATTAAAATCCAAAACATGATGGAATTCCTTTCATCCAGTCACTTCACCGTCTATCCTACAGGATGTACATCCTACCACTCTGTATATTATTGAGCAAATCGAAACGAGTAAATGACGATTGTAGTAGCATTGAGTAAATTTATAGTGTCATATAATGTCGAATAAAAGTATAATTTTAATGTAAAAGTTGAAGGTTAGAAAATAATTATTATAATGACATATAATTGATATCATTTCACATGAGCCTAACATATCAAATACGATAGGCATCGTAACATGCACCCACTGGCAGCTTTGTTTAAATCATAAACATAGACTATATGTTATACTGAATAGATAAAGAAACCAGGTTCTGGGAGGCCAGTCGATTTCGAACAGTGTCAGCACTGATGGGTAGCTGATAATGGCTAATGATCTGACCAGCTGTCTGTGCCACTGTGGTGAATCTTGTCTTAGTGTTGTAACTCGGAGACGACCATTGGGTGGGCAGCCATTAGTGCTGTTGCTGGTGTTGTAATGATTCCTTACGAGTTCTTACAGTTAAAAGCTTTGACAATCGCTTTGGTATGTTGTCCGGCAAGTAAATCGTCCGATGGTTTGTTCTGTTCACGTACTATGACGGCCTGAGGGCAACTGAATTCTCTGTATAGGTGTCAGTGGTTTTTTTAAACAGAACCTGACGTTGCAAGTAAATTTCGATTTTCCTTTGAACCACTTGTTACTGCTACCACGGGCATCTCACATTTCCCAAGGTTCACATCTGTTACACCGAACGTAACGTAATTATCTGAGTCTAAAATCATATTTACAATCTGTGCAGTAATCTGCTCAGTATATTACAAAATATATTCAACCTTATATCCCAACACCAAAGATACAAATGTTATATGTAATTATACAGTTAATACACTAAGACACCCCTAATTTTATACAGTTATAACGCCTACAATTATTGTCATCTACCATAATTATGCTACAATAGCGAGACATTTGATAATAATTGCAGGAAAAAGGTTGGTATTTAGATTTAATTACAATTATAAATTTAATGACTAATTTAATGACTAATGTTCAGTGGAAACATCAAATTATTAAACGTACTAATTCCGTATATGACTGTTGAAGGTAAATATCGGCCTTTCTTACCAGATTTTGAAGAGAACTAGTCATAGTTTTTAAATGTCATCTTTGTTTCTATGTGAAATGATATCAATTATATGTCATTATAATAATTATTTTCTAACCTTCAACTTTTACATTAAAATTATACTTTTATTCGACATTACATGACACTATAAATTTACTCAATGCTACTACAATCGTCATTTACTCGTTTCGATTTGCTCAATAATATACAGAGTGGTAGGACGTACATCCTGTAGGATAGACGGTGAAGTGACTGTATGAAAGGAATTCCATCATGTTTTGGATTTTAATATTTTGTATCCAAGCAGCTTTTGCTGTTGATCAAAATTTACTGGATTCTTTCAAGACGGTGAAGGAGAAGTTTCAACAAGCTCAAGACGCTCTGGGTCAATTTGAGAAGTTACTGCAACAAGAAACTGGAGTGATACCAAATAGTGAGATAAATGTGGATATTTATGAAGAATCGCCGAATCTGGAAAAAGAGTATAGAATTCTAGATTCAATGAACGCTTGGAATCGAATGTCAACTTGGACAAGACCCAAAATATCTTCAGATCAATCAACAAAGCCAGTGAGTGAGGCAGTGGAAGAAGTCGACAGAAAACAACCAAATAGTTATAGAAACATTAGTATTGGTAAAACAACAGTCAAGATTTTTAAAGACACAAAAAATAATACAATGATTTTAAGTTTGAAAACTAGGACTGATGCTGAATTTCCTCTTTTTCAAATGTTTGTTAAAGTTTATTCAGCTTATATTAAATTATTACCAGGTATGTGTGGTAAAGGTTTGTGTTTTGTGGCGGAGAAAAAGGGTGCTGACTGCCTTCTGATTTTTACTGCTGATATGACGCCACATCAATATTTTCAACTATCAATTCTTTTGAGTCATTCAGATATGTTATCAGTGCGTATAGACAGTATAGCGAGTCTTGATAACGATACTCTTTTGACCTATCATTTCCAAGAGTTTCAAGTTCATTACGAAGATGATAATCAAGTGATAATAGATCCCCAGGACAGTCATATTAATCTTAGAACCACAATAAACCTGAGTTCGACTAAAGACGCGAACTCTTCCAATAATACTGATATACAACCGAATAAATTTTTTGAGCCAGGAACACATGATAAGTCCATGTATGGGTATTCTGGTTCTGATAATTACACACTAGGAGATGGGAAATACCAAGCAATAGCACGATATGATCTAAATCCTGACAAACCAATGGATGGTATTATCAACTTTGGTCAGGAGATCAGGATTGACGATTACATATCTCTAGAAATCCACAAGCAATATACAGTTTTTCCAAAGGGACAAGAAGATTCTACATATTTTTTGAACAGTGCCATTGTGGGTCAGGCTCACAAACAGGGCAATCTTCAAGCTAACTTACCACATGCATTTTTTATCGGTATTTACGGGGCACCAACGGATATTTCAATACGTAAAAATTTGAAAACCAGATTATCTTATGATTTTCCGGGATTTGAGTTCCTTATTACCAGATATTTTAAAGGTCAAGTTAGTGTTGTGTTAACTTCGTATAATGTGACAGTTGAAGATTCTGGTACTTATGAAATTATTGCGAGTTTCGAAGGCGGAAGGTTTATGAAATATAGTTTCGAAGTTAATGTGGTGAATAAAATGATTAGAATCGACAGATTCTGGAAATCGGATTTCATTGTGACAAAAAATGATGGGAAGGATAAAATATCTGTGGAGGTAACTTGTACAGTTACGGGAGATCCTTTGCCAACAGTATACTTTACTAGCCCTATGACCCATGACAACTCATCGACTTCTGCTCTCCAGGAGATCAAATTAGAAAACAACGAAACTTTTGAAATCAAGCCGCCTGAAGTTACTGGAGACTCTATAACCAGAAAATTGTTTGTCCACAAATTACCCGAATCATCCAGTTATCCTTATGAAATCAAATGTAAAGCTACTACTGACGAGCAAGAAGAGTTTGAAATTGTTTATGTTTATGATTCGGATTTTGAGATATATTAATTTAAACATCAGTTGCTCTCATGTATTCTAAAACCTCTCTGTCAGTCAATTTGATATATGTTAATGGAACATACGATTTTAAGATTTTTAGTCTGTGGTTAATGCTATTACCATTTATATATTTGTTTATGAATTTTAATTTTTTATTTTAGTAGGAGTGGGGGGGCGGGGGGTTAGGGGGGGGGGGGGGGGGGGGGGTTATTGGTCTGCATTGACTTCGTTCAACCAATGCCTATGGTTGTTGAGTAACTGACAAACATAAAAAGTGATATTGAATACGGCATTGCATATCTCTTCCTGCTGTGGAAATCATGTTCATTATAGTCCTAAGCTTTGTCCTAACTTTATGTGACTGCTGTTTAATCCAGCGGTCTCGACCCGCCCTGGATGTTGTCAAGGACTTAGCCTGTAGCACTCGCAGTGGCGTTTCTTTCTAGGAAACAGTAATTGAAGGGGGACGAGCAGGGGCCACACAATTTTTCAGGCGGGCCACTGGCTATGCTTTCACTATGTAGACTGATAAAAACAAGTGGGAGGGGGAAAGCCGGGCCAGCATCTTTTCTGGGGGACCGTGAAGCCCCCCCCCCCCCCCCCCGTAGAAACGTCACAGAGCAATGGCTCCATTTTCAATGCAAGCCCCACCCCGGCCAGTATTACTTAAACCTGGTTGAAGAAACCAAAAGTATGTATTATCTCCACCTTTAAGGGATTGAACCCTCCCTTTTAGCGAGCCACGGCGGCTCCTGGATGAAAACAGGGGAAAGCACATTTAAGTTGTATTCAAAGGTGGGCTTATGGATACGGCCAATGTAATGTTGTGGGGGAAATGTTTTTTCAAAACACTACCATAACCAAAGCGATTTCGATTTCCATTTTTGAGGAAATATTCACCTGTGTAGCACACACAAATGGTCTCGGTTAATTGTATCTAAATAGTCGTCTTTTCTACACAGCATCAAAAACAAAGTGAACTCGATCTTTGCTGGGAATGGGAATGACTCTGGGACCTCCACGTTAGAGAGCTAGCTTTATATTCGATGGCTGTTACAGGCTCTGAGCGTGTCAAAAAAATCATTCGACAATTGAAAATCGTCAACAGGTAGTAAAAGATAAAGCACTCTCGAAGAGGAAACATACTTTAATCTGTAGATCATAATAAATAGAAGATTCGATGTGGTTGTCTCCCATTTAACACCAAAAGAGTATGAAGAGCATCTGTAATTGGCATCGAAGCTTTAAAGGGACAGGTTGATTTTAGTCTTGAATATATGTAAATAGTTTTCAGAAGTACAAGAAATGTACGAAAATCGCATAATTCCTTTCAAAATCAGCTAGGAATTTTACTCACAATTTCTATATAAGTCTTTTCTACATATCACAGAGTATCTTAAATTGACGAGACGTCATTTTAACATTCAAACGCAGATAATTTTGGAACACATGGATTTGAAGGCTCAAATTTCGATGGCGAGCTGTGAACACTATAACTGGTGTGCTCAGCTAAAATAAAAATCCAGTTTCTGAGGACTTAACTATGGTTGGTCAAAAAGAAAATGGCCTACCTGTCCCTTGAAGGTACTTTTTTTAACGCAACATGAAACGTCTCTTTGACTGTAAAACTGAACTATTAAACGTAGCAAAGAAGACCCTCTTGAATGAGGTGAACAATTACCAATAATAAACAATATTTAACAGTAGTATCATATATAGGTTTGCTACAGATGTAACTTTGTAACGTTTATTGGCCATAGATATACATAGAAACATAAATATACACCCTGTTATATTCCTTTAATATATGCTGCCGAAGTGTATATTCATGTGATACCCCACGTGATATTCTTAACTTAACTTGTTTAATTTCACGCTACCAATTATCTGGACGAAATTCACCTCTGGAGGTAGAAAACTTCTAGTTATAACCGAATCAGTTTATTGCCAGTCTGAAAGTAACTAGAAGTTATTCGGATAGAACTGGATAGAACCAAATTCTTTTTGCAGTGCGATAGGGGTATACGTTAAAGGGAGAAAGAACCGATTTGCAGTAGGATAGCAATTGCCAAATCGACTAAAAAAGCGATTGAACAGATCTTCTTATGGGCAGAGGCGACGTGTTCTGGAAGATGCTGCAAATCGGTACTCTTTGAGATCAATCTGGCTCAATTTAACCGAAAAACATCCAGCAACTTCTATACTAAAACTGTTTTGTTATAATATTTCTTAATCATATTGCTAATGATAAATTCAAATTCCAATTGTAGCATTGCGATTAAAAAACAGATGTCAATAAACTGAACTGTTGCTTGGTCACACTAGTTGCGAAGAACTCTTGCCATTAGCGATATTAATAACAAAAAGTTGAAAATTAATAAATTATTTTAATTCCAATAATCCAAACTGTTTTAAATCTCCTTTGGGAGAAAATATTATATAGGTTTTTAATATAATTGCCGACAACATAACGCAAATTTTATCACCATACATCAATTCAAATAATGAAATCGTATCAATTGATACACAAGCTAGGAGTTCCCAGTCACACTGGTTTGTTTTGATTTTTGCAAGACTTATTCTCGCAATCTTAATTCTGCTTTAAGACGCGAATAGATAAGGAAAGGGATCCGGTGCGGTGTATCAGATGCGGAAATTCCGATACACTAGAAATAGTAGAAGTGAATCATGTCCCCACCGTTCATATCACAAATACGGGTTTTGACATGGTTTTATTTATGACGAATGGGGGTGTGGTTTGGACACGATGTTAACACATGTCCGGACCCATACGTCGTGTGTTCACTTTTTCATTTTCTACTGTATTGATATAATCCCACATCCGACACGTAGTAAACCACACCCGACACCGAGTACATCCAAGACAACGTATCTCATTTTTTCACACCTTAAGGTCCAGACTCCTTTTGTCCGCTACGCGCAGGTGTAAACGCATCCGTTAGCGTATGCGCAATCTGTCGTGGGCGACATACCAACTACATGTAGTACTATGCAATTTACCATGCGAAAAGACATAATCCAGCCAATGGCTGTCATTCTTGCTATTAAATGATCCGTACAGCTTCCTTGAGCGCAAAAAAAATCGCCCAATTTTCAGTCAGTCCGTGGTATGCGGAGACTTTTGCGTATACGAAATCCTGATTGCGGATAATTGTTGATAAAGATTTTTTTTTACTAAAAATAGAAGGAGCAATATTTTCACATTTAAGGATACGTACTACGCTTGCGCAACTAGGCCTTAGGGCAAAAGGAATCTGGGCCTTAATTTACAGACGATACAAAGATGGGCAAAACAATGTAAAATGTCCTTGAATCAAACGATGGCAATGATGATGGAATATTTTTGTTGGTTTCCATGAACTACACAGCTGTAATAGCACTATTTATTACAGTCGACGACGGAGCGCCTGTAGAATAGTAATAAGTTCCGTACGATTTTCCGTCACATAAGTTAGTTTTGGATTGTGTTTTGCTTGAAGAACAACCAAGAAACGACCAGAGGCCTGAAATATAAAAGATCGACATGATAGGCAGGTAAGTAAGTTAGCGTCCTTTCCTAGCATAAGCTGATATAGCAGACTAGGTAGCTTTTGATGTTCGTGGTAGTTGGATCGGGGATAATGAGATGATTTTGGACTGTTGGTCTGGTAGCTGAGAATTCGTAAGATCTAGTCGCGTCGATTTACATGGCGGTAACCACTGGTTGTGTTGCTTAAGAAACATCACCCAGGAATTGTCGGAATTGAGAATTCAAATGCGGAAGAGTTATAGACTCCAGGCTTCCATGGTTGGTTGGTCTTCCAACAAATATTTTGAAATCTTACATTGATTTGGTGCATTTTGACACAAATTTGGGCAAGAAGGTATACAAATAAATGAACTAGGGGTAAAAACTATATTTCGGAAGGTACAAATATCCCCACCCGTCTATCCCCACTGGCACCGTCATTGAATTGAATTGAGTTACTCTTCAGCACCTATTTGGACAGGCAATGCAGTGTCAGGGAGGTAACTTTTACCAGGACAGTGGTAGCAATAACCTACTTTTTTTTATTTCCAACTGTCGAGGGATCTTTAACATGCACAGCCTGTAGGACACGGGTCCTATAGGTTTAACGCTTTCTCCATGTCAGCCCGTCTGACCTGCATCACAGACAAGGGAAAACCAAGTTGAAAGATCCAAAGGTATTACCTCGACCTATGCCGAGATTGAATCCTAGACCGAGCCACTCCATCGCTTTTTGGATTTTGGAAACAACAAAAGTTGATGCGTGAAATATGTTCATTCTAGTTAAACAATACGTCAGAGGTAATATATTCATGGTTTCATTACTTCTCCCACGAGATGTAACAACAGTATCTTAATACGAGTCTTTATTATTGACGTAATGCTACAGTTTACCAAATTATCTTGACAACTTATTCCCGGTACGAACATTTACTACCAGATATTTAACTTAAAATATAGATTCCTTAAAGTCATTCTTCCAATGGGATTTGAGCATCTTCGATTGCGTGACTTCCTCATCTGAAACAATGTTAACTTACTACCGGCTTTTTAGATTTAAATTCAGAAAACTGATTGTTCTTTCCAGAATATTTTTATATTTACATTTGTTTCAAAATAGCCGAATACAACGTCTGGTCGTTTATAGAATATCTGAGATTACAAGACTGCAATTGACTCTGATTGACGAGTTAACCCCCGGATAATTACATATGTTTCATCAAACCTATAGTATTACTAAAGTGGTACATATAATGTGACAATTTTGACATATTGCCTTTGTCAAGGGCAACAACTCAGTAATCCAATGGCTACAAATCATAAAAAAAGTTATTACACGAGACGCTAATACCCAGCGCATTTTATTCCTTTGTTGTATAATGTTACAAAGGTTACAAGGTGTCGGTTATAGCAAAAAACTTGGCTTTTAGGTTATATTCTAGAAAACCTCTTATGCAGTCCTAGAGGATCGACCATGCGACTACCAGAATCTGGAAGCAAGTGTGTTTTCAACGACTGCATCTTGAATACGATCATGGGCATCAATAACTGCATCTTGAATACTATCATGGGCATCAATGACTGTATCTTGAATACGATCATGGGCATCAACGACTGAGAAATAGAGGATCTGAAACGAGTGCTTATGTAATATGAAATTGATTTGCCAGGTTTAATATTACCCCAGCCTTGGCGAAGGAAATCTTAAATCCGGCAATCCGTAAATTTCATATTACATAAGCACGACTGAAAGATTCTATTTGTCATGCAAATAGACTATCAATAAATGCTCTTTTCCTTAAATTAAACTTTTTCTATAAAGGCCTTAATTTTGAGGTCAACCTTTTTACACCTTTCTACTAAAAAGACCATGTGATTACTAAATTGAAAATCAAAATTATGTTATTTGGAACAATTTCATGCCATTTACCTTCAATTCTAACTGAGTCGTCATCTTCAAAGAATGCCACGTTGTCTTATTTACATGGTGCATGAATACTTGACCTTATTTTCATAGTTATTAACCTGTGCTACGATTTCGTACATTTTTATGAACCTGTCTTATGTACCTGGGAACAAAAGTGTTGTGTGATACATAGAAGTTTGCCATTAGTCGCTCATCTTCCATTTTCCAGCATAATTGTGTCTATTCGTCGAACTGAATAGTCGGAATATGTAACAATCCAGTTCATTGCAGTGGCTTGTAACGGACATTTTCCCAGATCAATCCTTACTCAAGTTGTGATGAAGTTTCGGTTGACAACAAAAGTACCGTACCTCTTTTAAAGTTCTCATTAAAGCCAGCATAAAGAATAGGATTAACAGCACTGTTGGAATAAGCTAGGTATCTTGCACAGAAATCCAGTTTAAAGTACCAGTCATCTAACTGAAATAAAAAAGTTTTGATGGATGATGTTTACCACTGAGTTAGACATGATTAGCAGCAAATGATGGGATAAAAAAGAAATTGCCGTAAAACATCAACGTTACGTTGCACAACAGAACAATCATTATAGACATCGTGTTATATTTACGCTAACCCAAATAATTGGTTAAAGAAGGAATTCACACGGTAGAACCAGGATAAAATAGAGCTATTTTCAGGGGTAGACCCGATGAGGAGAAAGATGGCAGCCTTCTTAAAGGGCCAAGTGCAGTGGATTTAACTAACCGCAAACGTGAGTGACAAAAGCATAGACTTTCTCGATACCACAGTCTTTAAGGGAGATTCCATAGCAGAAACAAATAAACTGGATATTAAAGTGTATTTCAAAGAAACTGATACTCATCAACTCTTGCACAAGAGCTCCTTTCACCCAAAACATACCTTTTCTGGTATAATTAAGTCACAAGTTTTACGATTTCATCGAATTTGTACAAGATCTTCTGATTTCAACCAAGCCTGTACGATTGTTTTCTCAAAACTGAAAGAGCGTTGGTACTCTAAACGATTTTTACGAAACATAAAAAATTCCACCTTAGCACAGATAGCAGCTAAAAACAGACTTTATGCCGAAGTACCCCCAGGTTTAAGAAGTGCTCCATGTTTGTCCAGTAGATGCAAAACATGTCCCTTTATATCAGAAACTCATTATTTTGTAAGCAACTCTACGAATAAAAGGTACCCGATCCAGGAACATCTAACATGTGAACATTTGAATATAATATATTTAATTTCATGCAAGAAATGCCCCAAACAATATGTAGGAGAAACTAAGAATAATTTACGAACTCGCTTTAATGCTCATAGGTCAGACATCAAATTAAAGAAAGACAAGCCTGTTTCTAATCATTTCAACCTCGACGACCATTCAATAGACGATCTCGCCCTAATCCCAATTGCGCGTATAGAAATTGACTTGCCCGAAGATGAAACTACCAAATTCCGTCAATCTAGGGAAGCCCATTGGATTGAGACATTGAATACAGCAAGACCTATAGGACTAAATATTCATCATAATGTAGGCATAGCACCCTTTGTTGTCCCGTTTAATACAACCAGCAATCGAGCAAGTAAGATAGTTCATGCCCACTATAAGAGCCTTCAAGAGAAATTCCCCCATGTCTATAAGCAGAAAATGATAGTTGCATATTCAAAAAATAAGAACTTAAATGATAATATTGTTCATAGTAAACTAAAAACAATCAGCACATAACAGATACTATACTTTTCGCCCATCGGGCGAGTTATTTTTTCTAATTTCAGATCAGAATAAGAACAGAAGAAAACCCAATATCAAGACCCTTAATCCTAATAAAGTGTCTGCTCCACCCTAGGCCTGCACATTTGGGAGAATCAAACCCTCCCTTCCCCGAAACCAAATAATTGGTTAAAGAAGGAATTCACACGATAGAACCAGGATAAAATAGAGCTATTTTCAGGGGTAGACCCGATGAAGAGAAAGATGGCAGCCTTCTTAAAGGGCCAAGTGCAGTGGATTCATTCGGCGAGAGTGTTGAGTAAGGGCCACAGAATTATCATGAGGGCCACCAGGCAATTTTCCCCTATATTCAATTGAAGAGGGGGACCAAAGCCGGGCCAGCCTTAATTCTTAAATCTCTGAAGAAACGCCACTGGCAATGTGCCATTTTTGGGTTTGAATTCAGTCTTGAATATAATATGTAAATAGTCTTCGGAACTACTAGAAATGAATGAAAAATAGCAAAATTCTTTCAAAAATACCCCAAACTAGAAATTTCTTTTCCTATTTCTATAGATGTCTTTTCTATATATGGCAGTGTCTCAGGAAGAGACGACGCGTCTTTTTAATTTTCAAATGCGGATCATTCTAGACACACATGGATTTGAAGGCTCAAATTTCGAGCTTTGAACACTATTACTGATTGGCTTAGCAAAAGAAATACCGTTTCTGAGCTAAATATGTCCCTTTAAAGAGAGGAATCGAGAAGTAGTTATGGCATCATAATATAATTGTCTTAGGGGATTCAAATTACAGAAATTAATCACATGGCGGAAGGCAACTTCTCAATTACCTACGGAACGACATTCCAACTCAGAAGTGTTGCCACTGTGGCATACTAGCAAATACCCTTGATAATAACTGGACACTAGCGGGGTTAGACAGAGAGTTTTCAATTAATTCTATGATTTCAATTAATGCTTTATATAGTAAATGAAGTAGTTCTTCGAGTCATGCTCCACTCAAAGTAAATTATGTTCTGAAAAAAGTAACTTTGGTTGTTCATTATCGACAACCGATGTTCTTTGTCAGTATGTTCTATATCATGTAGGAAATAAAGTATTGAGCTACTTTGTGTTCACTATGTTCTATTTAATATAGAAATTAAGATTATTCTTACCGATGTTCTCTGTGTTCTATGTTCCGTGTATAGTAAGCATATCTGAGTAGGTAACCAACAAATAGCAAATACTATAACAATAGATATCAACATTATCAAAACCTGAAATACACATTTTAATCTTGTTAATTTCAATAAATATTTTAACCTTGTTAATATCAATATGATCAAAATCTGAAATAAATATATCAACCTTGTTAATATCAACATTATCAAAACCTGAAATAAATATTTCAACCTTGTTAATATCAATATGATCAAAACCTGAAATAATTATTTCAACCTTGTTAATATCAACATTATCAAAACCTGAAATAAATATTTAACATTGTGAATATCAACATTATCAAAACCTGAAATAAATATTTCAACGTTGTTAATATCAATATGATCAAAACCTGAAATAAATATTTCAACCTTGTTAATATCAACATTATCAAAACCTGAAATAAATATTTCAACCTTGTTAATATCAATATGATCAAAACCTGAAATAAATATTTCAACCTTGCTAATATCAACATCATCAAAACCTGAAATAAATATTTAACATTGTGAATATCAACATTATCAAAACCTGAAATAAATATTTAACATTGTGAATATCAACATTATCAAAACCTGAAATAAATATTTCAACCTTGTTAATATCAATATGATCAAAACCTGAAATAAATATTTCAACCTTGTTAATATCAACATTATCAAAACTTGAAATAAATATTTAACATTGTAAATATCAACATTACCAAAACCTGAAATAAATATTTAACATTGTTAATATCAACATTATCAAAACCTGAAATAAATATTTCAACCTTGTTAATATTAATATGATCAAACCTGAAATAAATATTTCAACCTTGTTAATATCAATATGATCAAAACCTGAAATAAATATTTCAACCTTGCTAATATCAACATCATCAAAACCTGAAATAAATATTTAACATTGTGAATATCAACATTATCAAAACCTGAAATAAATATTTAACATTGTGAATATCAACATTATCAAAACCTGAAATAAATATTTAATCTAGTTAACTTTAGTGCAAGAAAACTTTGGGGCGAAATACAAAATTCTCAATTTCATCAGAACTAATCAATTGACTTGATAATTTGATAAAGTTTATAATTTAAATGGACGGGAGGCCACCTTAAAGAGTTGATTTGAAGAAAGTACTACTGAAAATAGATATATTCATATACAGAACTCAAAAAGAAATTTCGACTGAACGCGAAAAAAGAGATTTCGATCAGATCATTAAGGGATAACAGTGAGTTACTCAAACAAAACAGTGGTGACTGGTTGCTGCACAAATTTGAACCAAATGATGCACATAAGACTTTAAAGGAGTCTAAAAATGAAAACCTTTAAATTCTCCCCTAACATTAAATTTACTTACAGGGGGGTCTCAAAATGCGGAAACCTTATTATGTTGAAATAAAGTTCCCGCGGAGAGGCCCCAACACGTTATTGGCGCCCACTCATCTGACTGAGCCACTAACTTGATTTAAAAGTGGGTTATTACAGACTATTACGTGCATATAGTCTTTCATTTCTTTCTGAAAAGCTAGTATAGGTCTTAATTAGATTTACTCCTATAGACTCCGAAACAAACCTTTCGTCTAGCTCTCTGTTGGTTGCGGTTTCCACCAGGTACGTGTTCGCCTGGCGTCGTCTGGGTTTTTAAGGTCCAAATTATCACCGAATAGGCAACAATCATAATCAACATTGGTATAAAATACAACACGACCGTCACTGACGTGTAGTAGGCCTTTCTGAGTGGCATAGTTGTAACTGTTGCGTTATTGTCGTAGTAGACGTAGACAGGCCATTCGTCGTCGCACCACTGTTCGGTATGGTCTGCCCATTCTCTCTCTTTAAGTCGACGGTACATCAATATTGGACTACCAACAATGCTGGATATTAACCATATGATTAACAACGAAGTCTTGGCTTTTCTTTCTGACATGTGGGCCTTCATAGCGAACACAATTCCGAAGAATCGATCGTAGGCGATTAGTGTGAGTGACAATACACTTGCTACTAAAGACACAACTGAAATAGACAAAAAATATTGCATGGATGTAGCACATTTCATTGTGATTTGAAGAATACAAATAAAAAGATGCACGTGTTTTTAGCTGTGTGCTGTCTTCTGAAACAGCGAGAAACTCTGAGTAACATGATTCAAGTTCTGTTTTAATATTTCTAATTGTTTAGTTTCATGGAATCGTCGAAGTGTACAGGGATTCTGTTGTATAGTAATGACACCAGGTTCTGTTTTAATATTTATTTAGCGCTTTACTAATGGTGTATGGAGCACGATTATAACAGTGAGAATATTTTGTAATTGTATACCAGTAAAATAATACAATATTTCGTTTGTAGTACCATAAACCGAATCATTTAGAATACACACATAGAAAATGAAATAAGAATGTAGTAGTAGTATTAATGGTGACGATATACGTAAAGAATGGTTCTAATTAACTCATGCTATGTACCAGGTTCCTTAAGCACCGTTACCATATATTGATTACAGAATATAAACAATATGCTACCGAGACCTTAAGATACATGTTTAAGTCCACAAATTGTACTGTTCTCTTTACCCACAGTTAAATTCGCTATTTTCCTTGGTTTTGGGTTTTAAAAACTCCATCCATTAATAGTAAAATACTAAAACTAATTACGTCGAACGTATATGGCCTAATTTTTGAAGAAACTATGAAATTAATTTGAAACTGATAATATTAAGGTCAATTCCTGTTTCCATATTTAAGAATCAAATTAGAACACTGTCAATTGAGTTTTAAGTATCTGTTTCATTTTAGATATAATTATCACCATTTCATTCACCAAATATTATTATAATATTATGTGGATGGACTCGAGTTCCGGACTAAATACTGGATCTATATATGATAACTATACTCATCAATTATATATTCACTAAGAATTAAGAAAGGGAAATAGTACATGAAATTTTAATGAAACATAATATAAGAATAATTGCTATACCACTGTGCACGGGAAATAACTAACAATAAGATTAGGACTGACTTGATTGGAACGTCATTGAAATGCTGAAAAAGTGACTAAATTTCTTTTTCAAAAATCTGTGATTTATAGTGTTTAACAGTTTAATTGAAATTAGTTCCGTTTTTTTATTAGCTTATATTTTTACGTAGCCACTTCAGTTAGGGTCTAACGATAACCCTCTTGGACGTTCGTCAAATTAACTTTTTGACCTAACCTGATAAACACCGCGTCAGAAAATGCCAGTGCTTGAGAAGGTAGAAATTTGATTGGTTAAAGCAGACGTCATAGAGTTAGGTCAAAAGGTTAATTTGACGAACGGTTAAGAGGGCTGTCGTTAGACTGAAGTGGCTACATCAAAAATAAAAGCTAATAAAAACAACGGAACGAAAGTTTAGTCTAATTTTAATGTAGTTTTTTTTTGCATCATACCGTTTCAAGACAAAATGTTATAAGCGATCTAGTGACGTCATGATCTTGCAATGTTTTCTGAAATTACACCAACGTGTCATCGTGAACTGAAATGATTCGCCTTGAAATTACGAGTCTCTCGTATAAACATACATTGGTCTGAAAGGTTCTCGAGAATACGAACACTTTCCGTTCATTAAGTTATTCTAGTAACGTTTTACAGTGTATATAAAAATCTTTAACATAATAGTGGTCGACAACTGAACACCAGGCAATTAAGCAGATGGAGTAAAAACTTCTGATAAGAATTCAATCTGCAGAATAATTGGCAATCTGGTCTTACTTGATTCGATGTTTTCGTTTTTGCCTGACTCTATTGTAAGAATTAGTGAAAATTCAATTCAACAAGCTGCCAATTTTCTCTACTGTTTCACTACTCAATGTGTATTTTTTGTGATTCGATCTATTTGTCTTAATACCCAAGGCTTTACGATACGTTGATTTGTTGAAAATTGTTAACAGTTAAGACAAGCTGGAAGGAGAAGTCAAAACACCATATAATGAAGTTGTCTGTACAATAGATGAAAATAATTTCTGAGCTCGGACAAAGTTTTGAAAATTATTTTGCATACGTTACATATCAGTGCAAATGGATACCTGCATGTTTTTGCTTATATTTCTTGTGATATCCAGGGCCCATTGGTATTAGATGGACGTCACTTAGAACAGACATTTCTCTACTCTGGTGATTTCGTTTGCCTAGAATTTGTTCTAATATGGGTTAGTATACGTCTGCAATTTAATCCCCATGGAATTATTTATCTAAATTTAATAATGAAAATTGTGTTGATAGACAAAACAAAATTAAAGGGACAGGTAGGCCATTTTTTTCACCAATCATACTTAAGTCTCAATTTTTTAGCTAAGCTAATCAGTTATAGTGTTCAAAGATCACCGTCGAAATTTTAGCCTTCAAATTCATGTGTGTCTAGTATTATCCATGTTGGAATTTTAAAATGATGACTAGTCACTTAAAGATACTCTGTGATATATAGAATAAAAAATATAGGAAAAGTGGGTAAAATCAACCTTCAAAATGGCGCATCTGTCTCTTTGAAATCAACAACATAATAAAAAGGTTACAATTTCGTATATAAATATTTAGAAACAAATGACAAAATAAAAGGGTTTTTCATGGTTATTTTTTTTTTCATTTCAATCTTCTACGTAATGAATATAAATATTGAAATTGGTGTAGGCAATTACTATGAACATCGTGTATTAAGCAGTAGGGAATAACCAAACTTCATTGTGTCTATCTTGTATCCATGGTGCGTCATAACCAGCAGTAACATAATAAGATTTGTCAAATGCCAGGCCATCTATATTAAGAGACTGTTCTAAAGCCATTTCTTGGGTTCTCCATTGTTGTTTTGTTCTGAGGTTACCAGGAAAAGATCTGAAATACGGAATACATTAAGTTACTTTATAAGCCATAAAGAATCACTAAGATCTGATATTGGTGACTCGACGTCTTTACTTCTTCCATGCACCTTACAGACGAGAATGTGCCCCCGTATCGATACCATCTCTTGAATGTTCCTTTCAAAAGACTATTCAAGCAAAGAAAGTTGTCTTTGAATCTCCAACACATTGAAAATTAAACTCAAAATTGTCCAATTTTATCCATGAAATCTTCCAGTCAGTAAAATACCATGTTCAAACGTAAGCACAACAATCTCAATGAGAATTTCTAAAGTAAGAAAATCGGGGGTCCGGGGTGGAGGGTTGCTGTACTTCTTAGTACCCTATACGTTACTCACCTGACGTAAGCAGTGAAAGCTGGAAGTGAGTTAATTCTTACTGCTGAATCAGTAGGTTGTGGTGGATTAGTAATAGAATTAGATATATAAAACATCATGGTGTTCCTGTTAGAAGTTTTACTGTGTTTGCCTAACACTGGTACAGTCATGTTTATCTTCTGATCTGTTAGCAGAAAAAAATACTTTAAAATATGTTGGGATGAAAATCCGTACAAGCAAGACAATTCCGTTAACCAAAATTTCATGAACAGTATGGTAATAATGAGAGTAAAAGTTATATAGGAGTAGACTCCTCTAGTGAGAAGTACCATCAGGTGTTGAGAAAAGAGTAAACATGGTCTGCTGATTCAATTTTCATTTGGGTCCACATTGCTCTCTGTGACGTCACAAATTCTAAACGAGCACGATATGTTTGTGTTCAGTACAGTATCTAAAGCGGAAAATCTTAGACATTTTTCAATCCTGAACGGATGAATCCGATACATCAACTAGATCAAATAGATCAAATACCTGAACACAACTTTGATACTGTATAAGTAGATCATGGATATATTTTGGCGGGGTTACTTCATGTTTGTTACCCTACGTTATTTACAGATATATAGCGGGAAAAACTTACTGTTCGCATTCTGTCCGTTGATATATTTGAAAAGTTTCCAAAACATTGTTCTTCTGGCTGTATTGTAAGGCATGTTGCTGATTTCTGTTTCTACCCAATTAGATGCTTCATATCGTCTGACTTCATATTGATTCTATAAATAAAACCTCTATCATTATAGATGCTTTCTAACAGCAGGGGCGAACTAAACAGCTCTATTCCCTTGGTTTTTTAACTTCGTCTTATACTTGATTGCTGTATTATACTCTTACGTACAATCCGACCAAATCACTGCATTTAAAAACTTTCTTGATAAAGAAAGATGGCTTTTGCAGTCAAGGTATAAAACAAAGTTTGTAATAGCTTGACATTGTGACGATGACTATACCTTCATTTTTTTACATCGGATATATCCTATAATGTATTTAAATGAATTCAAGGATTTGTTGACAAAGGAAATAGTTTAAAAACGTTCATCGGAAGATAGAAATTAATCATCTCACTATGACTAAGAATATTCCAAAGAAAAAGGATACAAGCCAAGTCTCTTCGAAAATTTGATCAAACAATAATATAGCCTCAACAATGCTGAATGCAATTATCAGAGATAATAATGAGATATCAAAAAATCAACTTACCGCAAAAGTTGTAGTAAATGACGGACACTCGTTGTCTTTACAAAACGATGCTTTACCACTTGCATCAAAGGAATAGGCTTCGCTGTATGAATTTAACAGCTGAAGAGACACAATTAATGATAGTATCTGCAACATCATTTCCGTCCAATATGTAAAACTGTGTGTCGTATGTCTCAAATACTGAGGAGTGCAACCGTTGATCACTTAAGTCAAATTTGACAACCGTGATTTATTCGGGTGTCTATATAGGTTTTCTAATGATCTTATATAAGTAAATGACCTTATATAAGTAATACATCCTGATTAAGTTCAAATTTAACTGATGATATGATGTTCACAATCATCATTTATGATTGTATATATGACTTCAAATTATTATGTTGTTACGTCACAACAGGATTTCTTCATGTATGATTGGTAAAAGAAAAATACGGCAGTCTTCACTTTGTCCTTAAAATGTTTTGGCTTTTATTAAAGGAATACTACCTCTTAGAATATCATGAAATTTAAATTTTCAAATTCATCAGTGGACTTATCTGGTGGCATAGCTAAAGAATAGAATCCCCTTTATCACTTAGTATATCACTGTATAATCTGATAAATGCATAAAATCAAGTAATTATTGAAAAAATGCTTCAATTTCAATAATTACTTGTAGTTTTATAATTACTTCCTTTTCTAGATTGAACAGATGCCCGAGAGAGTTTGTTGTAGGCTATAATTATGACACCGTGTAAGTTTACTGATGAATATAATGCACTCTCTTGTTCATGTTTGAAAATTTGAATTTTATGTTCATTCTAAGGGGTTGTATCCCTTTAAAAGTATCATCCAGAAAACTTGGGGTCAAAATGTGTTCTTATATTTAGTATGTAACACTTAAACGGTCATCATAAATATGCACTAATTGCTTGACATATAATTACGTCAGATCACGGAGTCAACCACATAAAAATATAAATATAGGTCTGTATTTTAAACGAAAAGTTTAAAAATTTAATATTGGTGAATAACTTTGGTCCCATATCGTTCAAGTAAAATTAAATTACCTACGTTATTTCAGTGCATTTCAATGAATATAAATGTGAAATATTGATAAAATGACAAAACCCATTATAACGCTATTGACAATCATCAAAGTGGCGTCTATAAAGAAAAATTCAGTTTAAATAGTGCCAACGATTTCTTAGCAATATAACATAAATCATTCAGTCTGGCTTAATGAATTTCTTAAATGATTGAATGCCTAATAAAAAGGGATAGCTGGTGTTAAATTAATATGTACTTGCTTAGAGAGTTACACAAGGGAAAGCAATTTCAAACAAAAACATTTTTAAGGCAATTACATTAAAGGACAAGTTACGCCTGTACAGAATTTTTTTTAAGGGAAATATATTAATGTATTCATATATTACTCCATATTACATAGAAAATTGATTTTACCAACAGTTCAAACTTTTCCTTTAAAAGTCGACGGTCGTAATAATCAAATTTTTTTTTAATATCACAGAACTACCTGTTCTCATAAAGATGTAACTATTATTGGTCATTTTGTTATTTTTCGTTAACTTTGTTCTGGGTGAGCTTTGATATCCTGGACGAACCGGTGAAGGTTTGATCAGTTTAAGGAATAAGATTTAATTGGGTCTTATGATTGCCGACCTCTCAACTTGAAGTATCGTGATCATAACTTATCCCTTTTTCTTACGACAATCGAGGCCCCGTGGCCGTGTTCTGCAGGTTTTGTACCTAAACGATTTATCAACCGATTGAATCTTAAAAGAGTAGGCTAATGCCGCAAAACTTCCCGTATTACACACCGCAAGGCATTTGTCCATATGATGTAGAAAAGTAGTATACGTAAGACTCGATTCATTTTTACGTACCAAGTTGGTTAATCTACCAACAAGGCAATCCACTGGTAACACTCTATCAGCAGGAAATTCCAAGTATTCCGTTGACAGGTGATAATATTCAGGACTGTATTAGTAATAGTTCAATAACTCGTAAATCCAAATCGATGAGTCCTGCACGATATGCCCTTTAAAATCTGATCAAAAACAGTAGGCTACATGTATATCAATCTGTTAATTTGACAAAACCAAATGAAGCTGAATGTCATATCATCTGTTTTTCTTACATCAATGTTTCAAACACATGACAATAACTCATTAATTATCAGATTTCGCAAGAATTTGCCAAGTTGCACAGTTGAAATTTACAAGCCTTGATAGATTTATCACTCAATTTGTAAAAATTAACTCTTAACTAGGAAATCTAGATATTTCCGATTCAATTTTTCAACATTATTTCTTTAATGTAGTTCATACATATAACATGATGTTGCTCATAATATAACTGAAAGTAACGAATACCTCATTCAAAATAAGGTAAATGATAATGATGTAATTTGGTCACAATAATATATTCAAAAGGCACATGGATCACAGTTATTTGGTCACAAGGTAAATTGGTCAACGTAATTTGAACCAATGTAAATTTAGTCAAGCTATTTAGTTACAATGTAAATCGGTCACAATAATTGGTCACAAGATAAATAGGTCACATTTTTGTGGTCTCAAGGTAAATTGGTCGAAGTGGTATAGTGCCAATTTGGTCATGACGTAAATTAATCTCATTAAATTGGTCTCACAGTAAATTGATCACATGTTAATTTGATCAACGTAATATGAACCCTATGTAAATTTGACCAAGCTATTTAGCGATTGTCATGGTAAATTGGTCACAAGTTACATTGGAACACTCAGTTGGTCATAAGGTTAACAGGTCACAGTAATAGGGTCACAAGTTAAATCGGTCATAATAATTTGGTCACGCCATTAATTGGTCACGAAGTTGTAACACATTAACCGACTTAACGGCTGAGGTTATAAACTCGAAGCCTTTTTAATTTGCGATGCTGTTTTGGGTATTTTTTTCTTTTCTTTTTTGGCTTTATCTATAGTGTAGAATGGAAGGTTATAATTGGTAACGTGATATACACAGTGATGAATCAGTAAAGTTGTTATTATGTATATAGGTCAACGATTTGTAAAAGTCGTACTATCCCCATGGCGTTTGGTAAGTAATTTCAGTAATTTCCTTTTTTTAAATAAGTAATTAAAGATTAGTTTTCTCGGCAGATATTTGTCTTGATTTTGAAAAAAAGAAACAACATAAAACATGAGAGATAAAAGTCTACAATACTAGTAGCATGATAGTCGTAGATAAGTACATTATAATAGCTTATCGTTTAATCGTTTCATACAAGGGAAGATCAAGATACCAAAATATCAATAAGAACGATTAAACAATAATAGGGGGGGGGGGGGGTTGCGTGAGGATGCATGC